CCTGCACAGAAACCAAAGCCTATTTTTGCACAGACAAAAACCCATTTTCTGCACAGAAACAAATCCCATATTTTGTGCTAAAAAAGTATTTTCCGCACAGAAACCAAAGCAAAGTTTTGCACCAAAACCCCATTTTTTTCTGCATGGAAACAAAGCCATATCTGGTGCTGGAAAAGCATTTTTTTGCACAGAAACCAAGGCCATTTTTTGCACAGAAAAAAGTTTTTCCTGTACAGAAACCAAAGTATATTTTTGCACAGACAAAAACCCATTTTCTGCACAGAAACAAAGCCATATTTTGTGCTGAAAATGCATTTTTTTTGCACAGAAACCAAAGCCATTTTTTGCACAGAAAAAGCATTTTCTCCACAGAAACCAAATCTTTTTTTGCACAGAAGCATTTTTCTGCACAGAAACAAAGCCATATTTTTGCATTGAAACAGAAACCAGATCATATTTCACACAGAAACCAAAGCATATTCTGCACACAAACATAATCTTATTTCACATAGGAAAATGCATATTCTGCACAGAAACGCCAAAAGGATTTTCTGCACAAGATTCCATATTTCCACCCTGTTTCGCCGGCACAAAACGCTCCCTCTGCTTTCCAATTGCAAGAACCTAAATATTAGGAAGCACATCTTGGTTGTAAGAGAGGATCAACACTGGAATACATCAGCTATCATGGCGGTTGACTCTCCTCTTTTGGAGGTCCCTCAACAAATCTTAGATGGACCTCTTTCGGGAATGGTTTAGCTGTGGATTTATTGCGTATCCGAACGGGGGCTGGAGCAGATGACTTTTGGAGGTCCCTTCCTATTCCTTATTACAATGTCATAGGTCTCCTTTTCTCAAGGGTTGGAGAACATGTCACTGCCCATAACATCGTTTCGAAGAAACTAGAGCCTCCGCCTCTCCGTTTTCCATTAAATGGCGCCCGAGCGGCTTAAGGGACGAATGCGTACCTCGTTCCGAGGGCGAAAGCGAGATGGAAAAGGATAGAAGCCAGGATTAGGAGACGATGCTTCAAAGCCAGAGATCGGAATACAATACCTTTGATTGATTCCGGGTCTGTTCTGGTGCCTTGAAATATTCCCATACAGACCTTTATGTGTCCGGTACTATATTTTTACCCAAATCGGAATCCCTCTGGCCATTTCCCATTCTCAACTAGAATTCATTTGTAAGTTGGGTTCTTGTAAGCTGGGTTCTTGTAACTTGGGGACTGGCTGAATATATATATATATATATATATATACACATACATACACATCTTCCTATGTGTGGAGAGGGATCAAGGCGGTATTCCTGCCCTGCATGACAAATCCGGGACGGCCTGTACTCATTCGAGGCATGATAAATGATAGATTTCGCCACATTTAAAAGTGATTAACCTTCTCTCCGAGCGAGAAGGGAAGGCAGCCCTAATGCCAATGGCGCCGGCACCGCCTTGCCGCCGTCTCCGGTTACCACCAAACGCGGGCAACGGGTACTGTCTTTGCACAATTTCGGGGGGTCGTCGGCATCCCACAACGGGCAAAACCCCGGATTTGGGGTGGTATTATTATTTTTTAAATCCCTGTTAAAAAGTCCCGAATGTTTTCGCGTTGGCACCATTTCCGATCGTCCTCGTTCGACCCGCTGACATCGTCTCCAATATCACGCTCCATGACGTACACCCAGTAAATCCGTTCGGAGGGGGAAGCGGCCTGCAATGAACCTGGTTGTCCTTATGGAGGGTACAATGGGATTTCTGGTGCCCCCAACCCAAGAAAAAGCCCGGAAATCCCATATTACGCCTTTGTACTGTCGTGCGCAATCAATACAGTCCGTCCCCAAGTTATGAAGGTTTGTCCTTAAGTTGAATTTGTATGTAAGTTGGAACAGGGACATTTCTGAAGTGTAACTTCAGCTATATAATATATATATAATCTTTGGATACCGTAAGTTGTTTGGCAGTTGGATATCTGTAACTCACGGAGTGCCCATATTATATTAAATTATATTATATTATATTATATTAATTATATTATATTATATTATATTATAATATCAATAGTATATAATAAGATAATATATATAATATAATATAATATATAATAATATAATAATACCAATAGTATATAATGCAATAATATAATATATAATTATATAATAATACTAATAGTATAGAATATAATAATATATATAATATAAAATAATATAATATAAATAATATAATATAATATATAATAATATAATAATACCAATAGTCTAGAATATAATATATATATAATATAATATATTATAATAATATAATAATAATACCAATAGTATATAATGTAATAATATAATAATATAATATATAATAATATAATAATACCAATAGTCTAGAATATAATAATATATATAATATAATATAAAATAATAATATAATAATACCAATAGTCTAGAAAACAATAATATATATATAATATAATATTATAATACCAATAGTATAGAATATAATAATAATATATAATATAATATATAATAATATAATAATAATACTAATAGTATATAATGTAATAATATAATAATATAATAATATAATAATACTCAAACATAATGTATAATATAAGATTCCTCTCTTTTCCTGTTATCTCAGCCCTGTAACTCGATGTATGGGTGTGTGTGTGTATATAAATATGCACCTATGTATACATATATTACCAATAAAATAATAATATAATAATACTAATAAGTCATAATATACAAGATTCCGCTCGCTTCCTGTTGTCTCAGCCCTGTAACTTGAGGTCTGCCTGTGTGTGTGTATATATAATATTATATTATGTTATATATATTATATGACATGCCTGTGTATGTATATATATGTGTGTGTGTGTGTGTCTGTATGTAATATTATATTATGTTATATATATTATATTATATGCCTGTATGTATGTACATATATACACACGTGTGTGTATATTATGTTTTATATATATATATATTGTATTATACGCCTGTGTGTATGTATATATATATATATAACATTATATTATGTTATATATATTATATTATATGTATGTGTGTATGTATATATGTGTGTGTATATATATATTATATATAATATAATATAATATATGCCTGTGTGTATGTACATATATATGTGTGTGTATATTATATTATTTTATATATATTATATTATATGCTGTGTCTATCTATCTATCTATCTATCTATCTATCTATCTATCTATCTATCTATCTATCTATCATCTGTGTGTGTGTGTATAATACTAATACACTTGAATATATAATACCCAAGCTCTAACATAGCATATCATGGTATACAACATCTACCAGGAAACGAATGGGAAGAGACGGCCGCATTGAAAGCCGTGCAAAGAGAGGCGCCATTCGCCCCGCCGAGCGAAGCCAGAGCATTAAAAGCTCATTTTTTAAGCAGGCCGCCCGCTGGCTTCTTTCTCCGGCTTCATCATTTCCTCTCTTTGTGGAAATGCCATTGGCAGGAACGTTTCGATGAAAGAGAAAGAGGGAGAAAGGAAAGGAGGGATGGAAGAAAGAAGGAAGGATGGAAGGAGAAAGGAAAGAGGGAAGGAAGGCAGGATGAAAGGCAGGAAGGATGGAAGGAAAGAGGAGGGAAAATAGAAGGAAGGAAGGACAAAAGGACAAAAGGGAAGGAGAAAAGGGAAGGGAAGGAAGGAAGGAGAAAGGAGGAAGGGAAAAATGGAAGGAGAAAGGAGAAAGAGGGAGGAGAGGAAGGGAAGAAAGGGAAGGAAAGGAGGAAGGAAGGAAAGGGGAAGGAAAAGAGAAGAGAAGGGGGAAGGGAAGGATGGAAGGAGAAAGAGGGAGAAGGGAAGGGGGGAGGAAAGAGGGAAGGAAGGTGAAAGGAGGAAAGAGAAGGATGGAAGGAGGGAAAAAAGAGAAGGGAGGAAGAGAATGATGGAACAAGAAAGAGGGAGGGAGAAGGAAGGAGGAAGGAAAGACAAAAGGGAAGGAAGGATGAAAGGGAAGGAGGAAGGAAGCCAGAGAAGAGAAGGATGAATAAAAGTGAGGAAGGGAAGAATGGAAGGAAAAAGGGAGAGAGGGAAGGAAGGATGAAAGGGAAGGAAGGAAGGAAAGAAGGAAGAAAGGGAAGGAGGAAGGAAAAAGGACAAAAGGGAGGAAGGGAAGGATGGAAGGAGAAAGACGGAGGGAAGGGAAGTAGGGAGGAAAGAAGGAAGGAAGGGAGGATGAAAGGCAGGAAGGGAAGGATGGAAGGAAGGGAAAGAGGAGGGGAAAATAGAAGGAAGGAAGGACGAAAGGGAGGAAGAGAAAGATGGAACAAGAAAGAGGAAGGGAGAAGGAAGGGGGAAGGAAGGAAAGACAAAAGGGAAGGAAGGATGAAAGGGAAGGAGGAATGAAGGAAAAAGAGAAGGAAGGACGAAAGGGAGGAAGAAGAATGGAAGGAGAAAGAGAGGAGGGAAGGAAGAAAAGGGAAAGGAAAGGAAAGGAAGGAGGAAAAGGAAGGAGAAAGGGAGGAAGGGAAGGAAAAAGGGAAGGAGAAAGGGAAGGAAAGGATGGAAGGAGAAAGAAGGAGAGAGGGATGGAAGGAAAGACAAAAGGGAAGGAAGGAAGGAAAAAAGGAAGTAAGTGAAGGAGGAAGGAAAAAGGGAGGAAGGACGAACGGGAGGAAGAGAAGGATGGAAGGCAGGAAGGAAAGCATAAAGGAAAGAGAGAAGGAAGGGAAGACAAAGGGGAAGGAAGGAAGGAAGGAAGGAGAAAGATGGAGCGAGGGAGAAAGAGGGATGGAAGGAAGGATGACAGGGTGGAAGGGAAGGAGGGAAGAAGGAAAGAGAAGGAAAGATGAAAGGGTGGAAGGGAAGGAAAGAGGGAGAAAGAGGGAAGTAAGGAAGGGAGGGAGGGAGAAAGAACAAAAGCGTGGAAGGGAAGGAGAAAGAGGGAGGGAAGGAAGAGAAGGCTGGAAGAAGGAAGGAATGAGAGAAGGAAGGATCGGATGGTGACTTCCTTACCAGAATCTCCTTGACGGCGTAATCCTGAAGGCCTCCGTCCCTGGGCGAGTCCAACACCACTGGGAAGCCCTTGTGCGGGGCTTGGATGTAGCCAAACTCAATTTCGTCCTGGACGGAAAGGAGGAAAACAACGCTTTTGAGACCCGATTGGCAAAAAGGGGCTGGACTAGATGGCCTTTGGGGGTCCCTTTCAAACAACCGGGATTCTACGGCGTGGGACAAACTCATCCCTGCCCGATGGCTCACCTGCATCCACCGGTCCCCGCGGTTCATATACCGTGAGCAGACGCTCATCTTGCAGTTGGCCTTGGTGACCAGGTTCTTGACTTCCTTCAGGAAGAGATAGTTGTCCTTCACGCTGGGGAAATAAGACGGAAAGCAGGGTTAGGCTTGAAAAGACTGGGTTGCAAACATTCCCAATAAGGAAGGAAGGAAGGAAAAGAAGGGAGGGAAGGGAGGGAGGAAGAGAGGGAAGGAAAGAAGGAAGGAAGAAAAGAGAAAGATGGAAGGGAGAGAGGGAAGGAGAAAAGAAAGAAGGAGGAAAGAAGGAGGAAGAGGAAGGAAGGAAGGGAAAGGAAGGAGAGAAAGGAAAGGGATGGAGGGAAAGGAAGAGGAAGAGGAAGAAGAAAGGAAGGGAAGGAAGTCAAGGAACGAGGAAGGGAAAGAAAGAAGGAAGGGAGAGAAAGAAAAGGAAAGGAGGGAAGGAAGGGGGAAGGAAAGAAAGAAGGAAGGAAGGAAGAAAAGAAAGAGAAAGAAGGAAGGGGGATGTAAGGAAGTTAAAGAACAGAGGGAGGGAAAGAAGGAAGGAAGGAGAGAGGGAAGGAAGGGAAGGGAAAGGAAGGAGAGAAAGGAAAGGGAGGGAGGGAAAGGAAGAGGAAGAAGAAAGGAAGGAAGGAAGAAGGAAGGAGGGAGAGAGGAAGGAGGGAGGAAGAAAGAAGGGAAAGAAAGAAGGAAGGGAGAGAAAGGAAAAGAGGGAAGGAAGGGGGAAGGAAAGAAGGAAGGAAGAAAAGAAATAAAGAAGGAAGATGAAGGGAAGTAAGTTAAAGAACAGAGGGAGGAAAAGAAGGAAGGAAGACGGAAGGAAGACAGGGAGAAAGGAAGGGAGGGAGAAAAACAGGGAGGAAAAGAAAAGAAAGCTGGAATGGGAATGGAGGGAGGGAAAGAAGGAAGAAAAGGAAGAGAAGGAAGGAAGGAAGACAAGGAAAGAACTTAAGAAACAGGAAGGGGAAGAAGGAAGGAAGGAAGAAGGAAGGAAGGAAAGGAAGGGAGGGCAGGAAAGAAGAAAGGAAGAAAAAGAAGGGACAGAAGGAAGGAAGGGAAGGAGGGAGGGAAAGAAGGAAGAAAGAAATGGGAAAGAAGGAAGGAAAGGAAAGGAGGGAGGGAAAGAAGGAAGCAAGAAAAAAAGGGAAGGAATAAAGGAAAAGAGAGAGGGAAGGAAAGAAGGAAGAAAGAAAAGGAGAGGGGGAAAGAAGGAAGGAAGAAAAAGAAGGGACAGAAGGAAGAGAATGGAAGGAGGGAGGGAAAGAAGGAAGAAAGAAAAGGAAGAAGGAAGGAAAAGGAAAGGAGGGAGGGAGGGAAATACAGAAGAAGAAAAAAGGGAAGGAAGAAAGGAAAGGAGAGAGGGAAGGAAAGAAGGAAGAAAGAAAAGGAGAGAGGGAAAGAAGGAAGGAAGAAAAAGAAGGGAAGGGAGGAAGGGAAGGGAGGGAAGGAAAGAAGGAAGAAATAAAAAGAAGGAAGGGAAGGGTAGGAGGGAGGGAAAGAAGGAAGAAAGAAAAAGAAGGGAAAGAAGGAAGGGAAGGAGGGAGGGAAAGAAGGAAGAAAGAAAAAGAAGGGAAAGAAGGAAGGGAAGGAGGGAGGGAAAGAAGGAAGGAAGAAAAAGAAGGGAAAGAAGGAAGGGAAGGAAATTAGGGAAGGAAAGGAGGGAGGGAAAGAAGGAAGGAAGAAAAAGAAGGGAAAGAAGGAAGGGAAGGAAATTAGGGAAGGAAAGGAGGGAGGGAAAGAAGGAAGGAAGAAAAAGAAGGGAAAGAAGGAAGGGAAGGAAATTAGGGAAGGAAAGGAGGGAGGGAAAGAAGGAAGGAAGAAAAAGAAGGGAAAGAAGGACGGAAAGGAAATTAGGGAAGGAAAGGAGGGAGGGAAAGAAGGAAAGAAGAAAAAGAAGGGAAAGAAGGAAGGAAAGGAAGGGAGAAAATGAAGAAAGGGAGGCAAAGGATCTCCTAAAGCAGCTTCTGGCTGAGCACTAAGGTGACCATATGATGCGCGCCCCAATGTTGGCCAGGTCATTTAGCCCCAAAAGGTGAGCATTAGATGCGCGTCTGTACGGTATATGATCAGAATGCAACACTAGTTTTGGAAAGGCCTCCCCTTTCTTCTGATGGGGCTCCCCACCTGCAGACGAAGACGTTGACCGGGGCTAGCGTGTTCGGGGTCATGATCCACGGCGCCACCCGGAAGACCACGCTGTCGGTGAAGATCGGGGTCTGCGGGAGGCCCTACAAACAGAAAAGTTCGTGAGTTGCTGTGAATTTTTTTTGCAGTAATTTGGCCACGAAAGCCTTCGACAATCCAAGACGGCGGCCCAACATTACGGCAAAGGAAAAGACCCAAGAGAATAGGAATTAGTTAGGGGGAAAAAAATCCCGCGAAAAGATGGCGAAGGGAAGGCATCGGGTTTCCTTAATGGCCCGCGTTCCTTTTATTTCTCTGTCCCGATTTATTTGGAAGGAAGAAGAAGAAGCGAAAAGCCACCGGGTGCCAGCTGCCAACGGGTGCATTAAGTGGCGCGAAGTGATGTGTCGAAATCCCACGTCAGCAGCTCCGTCTGCAGTTACAGCCCCATGTCGGGCGCCAAAGAAGAGAGAGAACACACCTGGAATAACCAATAATAATAATAATAATAATAATAATAATAATAATAATAATAATAATAATAATATTGTTGGCTGGATATTATGAGAAGACGCCACCGGCAAAGTTTGCAAACTCTTGCAAAGTTTGTAAACTAATAATAATGATGATGATGATGACAGGTTATTATGAAAAGAGATAAACTAATAATAATAATAATAATAATAATATTGACAGGATATTATGAGAAGAAGTAACTGGCACAGTTTTCAAACTCTTGCAAAGTTTGCAAACTCTTGCAAAGTTTGTAAACTAATAATAATGATGATGATGATGACAGGTTATTATGAAAAGAGATAAACTAATAATAATAATAATAATAATAATATTGACAGGATATTATGAGAAGAAGTAACTGGCACAGTTTTCAAACTCTTGCAAAGTTTGCAAACTCTTGCCAAGTTTGTAAACTAATAATAATAATAATATTGACAGGTTATTATGAGAAGAGATAAGCTAATAATAATAATAATAATAATAATAATAATAATAATAATAAATAATGTTGACAGGATATTATGAGAAGGTGTAACTGGCAGTTTGCAAACTCTTGCAAAGTTTGCAAACCCAGCTAAATAATAATAATAATAATAATAATACGATATTATAAGAAGAGATAACTGGCAAAGTTTGCAAACTCTTGAAAAGTTTGTAAACTAATAATAATAATGACAGGTTATTATGAGAAGAGATAAACTAATAATAATAATAATAATAATAATAATAATAATAATAATAATAATGTTGACAGGATATTATGGGAAGATGTAACTGGCACAGTTTGCAAACTCCTGCAAAGTTTGCAAACTCTTGCCAACTTTGTAAACTAATAATAATAATAATATTGACAGGTTATTATGAGAAGAGATAAACTAATAATAATAATAATGTTGACAGGATATTATGAGAAGATGGAACTGGCACAGTTTGTAAACTCTTGCAAAGTTTGCAAACCCAGCTAAATAATAATAATAATAATAATAATAATAATAATAATAATAATAATAATAATATGATATTATAAGAAGAGATAACTGGCAAAGTTTGCAAACTCTTGCAAAGTTTGTAAACTAATAATAATAATGACAGGTTATTATGAGAAGAGATAAACTAATAATAATAATAATAATAATAATAATAATAATAATAATAATAATGTTGACAGGATATTATGGGAAGATGTAACTGGCACAGTTTGCAAACTCCTGCAAAGTTTGCAAACTCTTGCCAACTTTGTAAACTAATAATAATAATAATATTGACAGGTTATTATGAGAAGAGATAAACTAATAATAATAATAATGTTGACAGGATATTATGAGAAGATGGAACTGGCACAGTTTGTAAACTCTTGCAAAGTTTGCAAACCCAGCTAAATAATAATAATAATAATAATAATAATAATAATAATATGATATTATAAGAAGAGATAACTGGCAAAGTTTGCAAACTCTTGCAAAGTTTGTAAACTAATAATAATAATGACAGGTTATTATGAGAAGAGATAAACTAATAATAATAATAATAATAATAATAATAATAATAATGATGTTGACAGGATATTATGGGAAGATGTAACTGGCACAGTTTGCAAACTCTTGCAAAGTTTGCAAACCCAGCTAAATAATAATAATAATAATAATAATAATAATAATAATAATAATAATAATAATACGATATTATAAGAAGAGATAACTGGCAAAGTTTGCAAACTCTTGCAAAGTTTGTAAACTAATAATAATAATGACAGGTTATTATGAGAAGAGATAAAATAATAATAATAATAATGTTGACAGGATATTATGAGAAGATGTAACTGGCACAGTTTGCAAACTCTTGCAAAGTTTGCAAATCCAGCTAAATAATAATAATAATAATAATAATAATAATAATAATAATAATATGCAGGATATTATGAGAAGAGATAAACTAATAATAATTATAATAATAATAATGTTGACAGGATATTATGAGAAGAGGTAACTGGCACAGTTTGCAAACTCTTGCAAAGTTTGCAAACTCTTGCCAAGTTTGTAAACTAATAATAATAATAATAATAATAATAATAATAATGTTGACAGGATATTATGAGAAGA